AATAGAGATCTCAATGAAAGCGCTCCATTGATAGGCCACAGGCATGAGAGCTGAGGCAACAGGAAGTACTGATACAGGCTCTGCCCTGCTTGGATGGCACAGGGAGCATAACTGTGTTTGATGCCAGCCATCTGGCCTACTAGTTCCACGTTTGCCACCTGGCAAAAGGAAGAAGAAAGGAAACCTACCGTGATCAAGACTAGTTACTTTTCCCTGTATTACATGTATAGTTTACCTCAAGGCTCCTATGATGAAAAAGGTGGAAAAATAGATAACACATAATAACATTCTCAGATACATACCATATCCCACCTGCAGTGTGCTCAGTAGATCATAACCCATGATAATGGCCATGAAGTCAATTTAAGAAGTTAAGTTCAATACTTTAAAAAGAAAACAGACAAGACCGGAATAAAGTAAGAAATACTGGATTGTATCCCACATCTTGTTTTGTGAAACTTATGTTTCACTTATATTCATTTATACTGAATATAAATGTATTGGATGCGTATTGGATCACAATATAAAATGAGCCCCTTATTGAGGGTAGAGGCTAAACATTTTCTTATCTATTTCATAACTGTTCCACTGAGGTAAAGGCAGTTACTAACCCAACATAACTAAATTAAATAGCTAAAGCTACTTCCCCAGTTTCATCTGTGCCCCATCGCCCAGTTTCTGCTCCCCAGCCTAACAGCCTCCTTTCTGTTCCTCTTTCCTTCCTGGACCATGTGCTATTCTCTCAGTTCAGAACATTTTCCTCACACCTCTCACAAAGCTGGTTCCTTCTCATCTGCCAGGTTTCAGCCTAAGTCTTCATCTCTGCTGCAAAGAGTCTTCCTGGACCCCCAGTCTGAGCAGTCCCTTGACTGCTTAAGGTGACCAGGACACTTATTTCCTTGTTTGCTACCTGCCTTCCCCTCCAGAACTCCAAAGACAGGGCTAACATCTGCTGTGCTCACCAATACATACCCAGGAGCCACGAAAGCAGCTGGCACAGAGCAGGCACTTCACACTTGTAAACTGAATAAGAAACATCCCAAGTTCTCTTATTGGTAAATGGCTGAGCCAGGACTCCAGACTCTGTCTGACTGGATAGCTTGCTCTTTACCCCTGCATAGTATTGACACTTGGTAACTGCCTATCACTTCCCTAGCATATACCACTAGAAAGTGTCAGTGCCAGGATAGAACCCAGGCATGTCTCGCAACCAAAGCCCATGCTCTCTCTAGCATGTCATGGTGTGAGACCATGAGTGGCTCACAGGGTCAGTCTCCTGTGGTGAACTAAGAATATGAAGGGAATAAATAAATGAGACTGCAAAACCTTCAGACCTGAAGCAATTTGCCAGTGACTAGAGAAATACCAGAAATCAGCTAAGTACAGGATTTGTATTGAGTCCAAAAGGCAGTTTAGAAATAAGGGGTGAGGGGCTCCCTAAGGTAAGTAATATTCTGGGAAGGAGGACTAGAGATACTGTCAGGGATAGCAGAAAAACTCAAAAGGGCAACCTTGCAGGGGGAACAGAGAGCTCAGGTTGCAGTAATCACACTTTAAGGTACCTCTGGTGGGCAGCATTGAATTGTAATTCTGAGACAGAGAATAGAGAGAGAGAAAGGAGCCCCAAAAGGCTCCAGCCAGGACCTGACCTGGAAGCCAGAGCAGCTGGCTACAGGAACACTTTGGCAATACTGCCACCTTGTGGCTGAGGAGCTCCTGGCCCACAGGAAAAACAATCTACAGATAGGTCAGTTTGAGGGTTCATTCTTCAGTGGTCCTCATAAAGCACTTAATATGGGTTTGGCTGTTGGGGCTTGCAAATGGCCCTAATATGGCTCCAACCTTCAAGGACCTCTGTTCTCTACATCCCAGCTTTGATCAAACCCTTTTTTTATCTTCATCTTTTGATAATTTCTGTCCCTTCTGCTATCATCCTAACATGTCTAAGAGCAGGGATGGCTGCTAATTCATCTGAAGCTACCATAACAAGCATAGGATCCAGCACATCAGAATAATAATAGCAACTACTATTTAATAGGGGCTAAGTGTTTCCAAATACATTACACCTTGGGTTCTCGCATTTCACCCATGAAGTACCTATGAGACCACCAAATGAAAATATCAAGGAGGCATTTACTTCAATATGAGCTGGAGTTCTTGGAGAAGCCAGGGATGGAGAAATAAAGGTGGGCATCACCAGTACACACGGTGTTTTCTAGAGACTAGTGCCTCTCAAAATTTAATGTATATATGACTCACAGGGAAATTTTGCTAAAATGCAGACTCTTTCAATCTGGAATGGAGCTGGGGATTGTTTCTATCAAGCTCCAGGGAGAGCCCACACTAATGATCCCACAGACCACATTCTAAGGGGCAAAAATCTGAAATAGACTGGGTGTGATGGCACGTGCCTATAATCCCAGTGGCGGGGGAGACTGAGATAGGAGGATAGCGAGTTCAAAATAAGCCTCAGCAAAAGCAAGGTACTAAGCAACTCAGTGACACCCTGTCTCTAAATAAAATACAAAATAGGGCTGGAGATGTGGCTCAGTAGTTGAGTGCCCCTGAGTTCAAGCCCCAGTACCAAAAAAAAAAAAAAAAATCTGGAATAGAAACTATAGCTAGAAGGTCACATCTGACTCATTGCCCATTTGTACACAACTCAGCAAACTAAAAATGGAGTGATATTTTCATTTGTAGAGGATGAAAAAAGAGGAAGAAGATAAAGAGGAGGAGTCTGAAACCATCTATGCCTTATCATGAATAAAATATTTATTCTTTGGTTCTTCATAAAAAATGTTTACCAATTCAATCTAGAAAGTCACCCTGGGAGAGGATATATAGATAAACAAGGGGGAGACAAGAATCAGGTCCAGGCCCTGTGTCTTCCAAACCCCTAGCCCTACTTTGAGTAAAAAAGGCAAGAGTACAAAGCACAGCACATATTGATAAGAAGGCAGAGAAAGAAAAGCTTCCATCTGAGGCTCCAAGATGTGCAGGGGTGGTTCTGCAAAAAGGGCTATATAGACATGCAGAGCTCAGAACAAGGAAGTGGACCTTGGAAAGTCAATAACTGCCTGCCTTTTTCAGTGTTCACCTTGGAACAAAGACAGAAATAGAAAGAAAAGAGCAGTGACCACTACCACCTGTGTGCAGTGCCACAGAAGTACTGAAAAAATAGAAAGGAAACCTTGTAGATTCTACAGGATTGACTTGAGCTGCAGAACCTTCTGAATTTTGGCTGAGGATGGGGAGAGGAAGTGGAAGGATTGATGGAGGCAAAAGAAAGGGACTGTCAGCAAAATAACACCCCAGAGCCTGTAGTATGGGGGCCTCTCCAAGCCATATTTGGCTACAGTGCCTTCTGTCATGCTTCAGTTAAGGAATACATTCATTTAAATGTCAATGCCTGAGAAAGTAAATATAGCTGTCCATTTCCATCAACTTGAACCACTGAATCTGGCTCTCTTTCAATGAATACTAGGCTGTTTTGCTCTCTGTTGTGAAAGATTTGCTTTTCTCACATCAAGTTTTCACATATATTTCCAAAGGACTACAGTAGCACCCTTTCGTCAAGGTACAGAAAAGACTGCATCAAAAAGACAGGAAGATATCTGTAAAGGCAAATGGCTCTAAAATGCTAGAGGACAAATAAGAACAGAAGGATATGACAAAGTAATTATATGAAAAAACAGATCCCCAAATTTCCTGGCTGGGAACCATTAAGGTCAACCAGTCTTCCTCCTCTTTACAGCAAAGCTGCATATAAAACCTAACCATCTAACTAGTCAGTGGCACAGGCCTGTAATCCCAGCGACTTGGGAGGCTGTGGTAGGAGGACTGCAAGTTCAAGACCAGTCTCAGCAATTTAGGAAGGCCTTAACAACTTAGTGAGACCTTGTCTTAAAACAAAAATAAAAAGGGCTGGGATGTGGCTCAGTAGTTAAGCACCCCTGGGTTCAATCCCTGGTACAAAAAAAATGAAACAAAACAACAACAACAAATTAACCATCTAGAGGGGAAAAAAAGCATGTGCCATGCTTGGCTTTGGGCATAAAACATTCTTTCTCTTCTTGATAAATTAAAAAATGTTTGCAATCAAAAACAAATCTCTACTCATAACTTATGAGTTTCTGCCCTTCTCAAGCCCATCCTACTTGATAATATTGTTTGTCTCCCCTACCACAAATGGATTCCTTCAGAGAAGTGACTATCTTTGCAGCACCCGGCACACTCTTACACCAATCTACTGAAAGACAGTTCTCCTGCCACCTACTGGCTGTGTGATTTTGGACAAGTTTCTTAATCTTTCAAAATCTCAGTTTCTGGGGCTGGAGATGTGGCTCAAATGGTAGTGCACTCGCCTAGCATACGTGAGGCAGTGGGTTCGATTCTCAGCACCACATAAAAAAATAAAATAAAATAAAGATATTGTGCCCACTTAAAACTAAAAAATAAATATTAAAAAAAAAAACACCTCAGTTTCTTCATTGTGAAGTCCTTTCACAACAGGATTGTTTTGAAGATTAAATGTGCTAATACATGCAAAATACTTCACATGCTGGTTAATAAGACAGTTATGTTTAATAAGTGCTGGTAATTATTATCATTCAATAATAAAATGAATCTATTATTCCAGCCCACAAATAACACGTTTCCCCCCAAACATACCACAACAGAAAGGCTTTCTCAACCCTGACAGTACTGACAGTTCTTTGCTGGTGGGGACCTATCTTGTACCTTGTAGAATGTTTCATAGCATTCCTGGCTTCTATTCACTAGATACCAATAGCACACACACACAGTCCCAGTTCTAACAACAAAAACTGGCTTCAGAGATTGCCCAAATGTTTCCTGGAGGAAAAATTTCTCCCTCCTTCATTAAGAACTATCACAGTAGAATATGGAAATCAGGCATAGAAAGTCTGGTCACCATAGCTCCTAGTTTCTCACCATCCCATTGTGTCCACACACAGCCACCTCAGTCATTATTTGCTTACCACTCAGTTGCCTTGGAGGGAACAGGTGATAGGTGCTGTAGATATCATTGGAAAATTGCAACTGGAGCTCAGGGGTGCCTTTCAGGAGCTGGGTCACCTGTTCTACCTGAAACGGTGTCTTCTCCAGGATCACAACAGCATCCTCTCCATTCCCATCCCCAGAGTCCTCATTCACCTGTGGGCAGAGATACTATCAGTGGGCCCAGGCACAGAGCCACAGAAGCCTGCAGAGCAAAGGCAGACATTTCCAAGGCCTCTGAAATCACAGCATTTAGGACTTCCTGCTGTAGTCTTCTTTCTTAGGAAGTCTAGTCAAAGGTACTGATGTTTTTCATTTTTTCTCCAAAGAAGGTGTCTTAATGCAAATCTTTGTGGCAATTTTCATACCTTTCTTCCAAAAGATGAAAAGCTTTACAGTTATCTCTTTTAGGTTCACAAGACCTTTCTCAAAATGGGGGGGGGGGGGCTGGGTAAAAGGCAGTCTGTGTAGACAAGACCTTGGATAGGAAGTTTGAAAGGAAAGAAAATAAAACACTAATACCATCAGGACACTTCTCCCTCCTCCAACCTGTTGTCAAGTTACCTGCCTCCAAGGAATTGTTCCTCTCAATAAAAGTTGTTAATGAATGCCCTCTGGGCTGCTCCCTTCCTGCCTGTACTCCTGGGGTGCTTAGTCCTGGCCCTAGGATCACTCCACCTTTTGGTCTCCTAGGCAAGATAAAAGGTGAAGGGGGCATGAAAACAAAGGAAATCCAAAATCTATACAAGGGGCAGGACATCCCTACTTCCTCAGGCACCAACTTCCAACCTGGACCCCCTCCAGAGGAGTCTCTGTCTCTCTGTTCTATCCTTTAAGTAAAACTTATTGCTCTTGCCTTGGGACTCAGATGCTAAAAAATGGTATCAAAACCATCCCCATTTTAGAAGAAAAGATGAAGACACTGAGGTCTAGAGAAATTAAGTGACTATCCAAAGTCACATGAACACTTAGTGTTTAAGCAGAAACTAGAATCTAAGTCTCTCAACTAACCCCTAGCTCAAAGGCTCTCTTGCCTTCAGCAGGTGATACACACTGAAGACAAGTGAGGCTGAGAAAACCAGATAGGGCCTTATAAAAAACAAGAGACACAAAGAGGCATGGAAGATTAAACCCCTTGTTCCTCCCAAAGATGTGAATTCCTGCTAGTGATTCTGGGGAACCTGACCTTGGCTAGAACTTCTCACTAGTTTAAGATGGTCTCCATCTTACCTGAACCCCTGCTAGTCGTTGAGCACAGTATTAGAGCCAGCAGGGTATGTCTCCGCAGGAATACTCTGCAGTCCTGTAGATCAGGGATGGTACCTCTCAGCGCCCCAGCCAGTCCCTGATACGCATAAAAGTGCATGGTGTGTGGAAGTGGACTAGCAATTTAACACGCTGTCTCCTGTTAGACTAACGTCCTGTAAAGCAGGGATCCTATCTCCTACTGTCTCGACGCATTTCCAGGGACACGATCCAGTAAGACATCCAGCAATATTTACTGGTTCCTAGCCAGAGTTACATATTGAATGAATGATGGTGAATGGCGTGGGGAAGTTAACACGGGAGTTTTAATCTGATATACTTTAAAAGGATTAGTTGACATTTCTAAGGAAAATTCGACCTAGATGTATTCATTCCTTTAATGCCACGAACAATCTTGACACCCCATGCATTATAGTGGCGCACTCCGACACCCCGAATAATGTGATTGGTATTTCCCGGCCGGGATGCGAACAAATGAGCCTCCAAAGCTATGACTGGTTCCCTCCTTCCTGGGCCCCCATTTCAGGGTTGTCTAATGGTACCTTCCCGTGTAGGAAAATGATTTTGTCCCGCGCAGATTCCCTCAGCACTTTTTGCACTCTAAAGCCGGAGAACGGTAAGCGAACAGGAGCAGAAGTACCATTTCCAACTCCTGTTTCCTTTTCTCCTGTGCTGCGGGTTTCCGCCTCTGCGTTGGATTCGCGCTTTCTTTTGGGCTGAGGTGCAGTGTCCGCCATGCTGCTCGGAAGGAGCTGTGCGCCTGCGCGAACTAGACGCTAGTTCCGCCCCGCGGCTGCTCCTCCAGGCCATGCGGGGCTGAGACTTCAACTCCCGGCGTGCTCAGTGCTGGCAGAGCTGGGACTCCAACTCCCGGCGTGCTCCGTAGCGCAATTCACTAGGGTTCCCCTGTGGGGCGGATCCCTCTGAGGAGCGCGAAGGAGCTTTTTAAATCCGCGTCGCTTGCCGACCTTGAGAGTAGGGAAAGGAGGACAGCAAGATCCTAAAGAGGCGGGTGGGCAGTGGAGAGAGCCCATCTCCCCACCCAGCGCTCAGGGTCTGGAGCCGGAAGACCCCTTTGGACCTGTGAATGCTGGATGCCATGTTTGAATCCTGAGGTTTTAGAAGCTGACTAGTGACGGTGGAGGGAATGTTTCTGAAACAAATCTGTGAGCCCACTTTATTTCTTGGACGACTTTTTTAGTACGAGTACTTGAACCATTTCCATTTTTCTTCCGTTTTTGTTATTTTACAGAATTTTCCGTCATGACCAGTTTTTTTTCTTAATAGACTTAGCACTGTGGGCTGAAAAGAAAAGTAAGCGGACGTGTCCCGAGGTATCATTTTCATCACCTGCTGCCACCTCTCAAATTTTGCCTTTATTTCTGCAGAGCTACCCTGGAATGCGATTTACTCGGATGTGAGACAACTTTGGCAGTTATTGACATTAACAAGATGCAATTTTCAGTCAGTTTTTGGCCAGTAACAAGGTGTATCATGTTTTAATGACAAATTGATTTTTGTATTTTTTTCTACTAGAAAGATATGTTGGATAAGAGGAATTGGTTTTGTGAAACGGAGGGCATTATTATAAGGGGGAATTAGAATCTGAAGCAATTATTTGCAACAAAAAACAGGTTGCCTGTATACAGGTAAGAGTTTATAAACTGTAGGAGAACTGGGGAATGTAGTTCAGTGGTTGAGCACTTGCCTAGCACACACAAGGCCCAGCATATAAGTTCCAGCTCTGCAAAACAAACAACAATAACAAGAAAAAAACTATATGCAAGACTAGAACAAAATGTCTAGGAGAGCCAATGGCAGTAATAAAACCTGCTCAACTCTAAGGCCCTGATCTTATATTTCTGAGCATTTTTTCCAAGTGAGGAAAAATTTGAAACATTTTAGTTTGGAGATTTACAGCCAGATATGAGAAAATTAGCTTACTGTCTCTTTTTATACTTCTAGGGTCCTTCTGGAATATCCAAAAGTTAGTTTGAGGTCAGAAGCTTAATTTTGACTTTTAGGAATTTTGTCAGTTATACAAATTAGGATTATAGGTCACTGTGAACAAGAGTCATTCATTAAACTGAAGTGATAATTAAAAGACTTTAAAAGCAAATATGGGAAGTTACATAGTAATAGGAAAAAATTAAAAAGTTTTTTCAAGTAATAAAAGGCCCAATAAAGCATAAACAGGGAATCATCCCAATTAAAAATAATCAAATCTCTTTTTTTACAATTCATTCAAAAAGTGAACAAAAATATCAACACAAAAATATTGTCTTTAAAAAATTATAATTTTACATCAGTGTACTTTTGATTTTAATGCTCACTTTAAAAACCTGTATAATAAATTCATTCAATTTTAATCAGTTTAACCACATAACTTTTTTATATCTTCAGCTTTATTCATATTGATTCCTGTAGCATTTATTTTTTTTTAATATTTATTTTTTAGTTGTGGTTGGACACAATACCTTTATTTCACTTATTTATTTTTATGTAGTGCTGAGGATCGAACCCAGGGTCTCACACGTGCAAGGTGAGCGCTCTACCTCTGAGCCACAACCCCAGCCCCCATGTATCATTTATCTTGAAAACAACTTTAAGTAAACTCTAAATTAGGCAAAACTATTTTCCAACACATCCTCATGCCTTCTTTATAATATTCCTAGTGTAACGTCATATTTTCCTTTGTATATTTTTCAAACATTTTTTTTCTGTTTAGTAGTTTAAATTACCTATATTAGTAACAGTTTATACTTAAGTGATTAGCACCGTTTTATAATTTCTTGGAGATTTGTTTCCTCATGAGCTGTGGTGACACATGCCTGTAATCACAGCTTTTCGGGAGGCTGAGGCAGGAAGTTCATAAATTTGAGGCCTTCCTGGACAAATTAGGGAGACCCTATCTCAAAATTTTTAAAAATTCAAAAAGAGCTGGGAATATTGCTTTGTAGAGGGTCTTTTGGTTCAGTTCCCAGCACTGCAAAATAATAATAGCAAAATTATAATAGTAATTATATAATAATAACAAATACATGTTTCCTCAAAGTACAATTTTTTTTATTAACATACCCTAAATATCTTTAATCCTTTGTAATAAGTTTACTTACAGGTAAGTAAACTTAACCTGTGTTCAGCAATTAATGTTTCAGCATTTTATTTTACTTGGAAATGATCAAGATATTCAGTGAATATCCAGCATTTAAATTAATTTAGTCCTATTGTTTGGATTTATTTATTTATTTTTTGTACCAGGGATCAAATTCAGGGCCCCTACATGCTGTGTAAGCATTCTACCACTGAGCCACACCCTAAATCTCTTATATTTGGGATCTTAAATGTCCCCAAAGACTTACAGGTTAGCTCTACAAGTTGGCATTATTCAAACCTTCTAGAGGTGGAACCTCTAGGAGGTGTGGCCTAGTAGGAAGTGTTCAGATTAGGATTATGCCTTTGAAGGGGATAGTGAGACCCTTTTCTGTCTTTTGCTTACTAATTATAGAGTGAGTGATTTTGTTCCACTACACACTCCTCACCACAAGCCCAAAAGCAACAAAGCCAACTGATCATGAATGGGAAGCTCTAAAACTGAGCCAAAATAAATCTTTTTTTCTTATAGATTGATTATCTCAAGTTATTTCTTACAGTGATAGAATGCAGACTATCACACTTAAAATTCTAAGGTAATAGTTTCAAAGAAGTTTGGTGAGCATAAACCATAATTATGGTTAAAATTTAAAAGCTCACCAAACTATTGGCCCTGTTGCTTTGGGTCTCATGATCAGAAAGCAAAAGGAAAGAAGAAGGAGCAGGAGTTCTACTATTCCCTTCAAAATTACATCCCCAAGGATTGAAAGAATTCCCCAGTAGGTCCTACCACCTCCCAGTAATGCCACCCTGGGAACCAAGCCTTTAACATGTAGGCCTTTTGGGGGACATTGAAGAGCCAAACTATAGCATCAACACTTTCCTTGTGATGATCCTCCCTGGATTTGAGGTCTCCTGTCTGGTCTGGCAGGTAAGGACACTTTGTAGAAGACCTTTCCCTAGCCATGTGCTTGTAATCCCAGCCACCCAGGAGATGGAGATGGGAGAAGCACAAGTTCAAGGTCAGCCGTAGTAATTTTGCAAGACCCTGTCTCAAAAAATAGAATGGGCTGGGGATATAGCTCAGTGATAAAGTGCCCCTGGGTTCAATCCCCAGTGCCAAAAAAAAAAAAAAAAAAGGCCTCTCTTTGTCTGGAAGAGTGAAACAGGAAGGAAAGTCAAAGGGACCTGAATTCTGTCAAAACACCAGTCTTTTTTTTTAACTTGTAGATGGACGCAATACTTTTATTTATTTTTATGTGGTGCTGAGGATGGAACCCAGTGCTAGGCAAGTGTTTTACCACTGAGCTACACCTGCAGCCTTTTTTTTTTTTTTAATGGCACTGAGGATTGAACCCAGAGGTGCTTTATCACTGAGCCACATCCCTAAACTTTTTTTTTTTTTACTTTGAGACAGGGTCTCACTAAGTTGGTGGGGCTGGCTTTGAACTTGTGATCAGATCTTCCTGCCTCAGGCTTCCCAGCCTTTAGGATCATGGGCATGATCACCACCACTCCCTGCCAAAACACCAGTCTTTGGGGAGTTGTTTTTCTGAACCCCAATAGATTTAAATTGCATTTTTGCAAGTTAAGACTACCTGTTGCCAGTGGTGGCACATGCCTACAAGTTCAGGGACCTGAGGCAGGAGGAGGCAGGCAGATCTCAATTTCAAAGCCAGCTTTAGCAACTTAACAAGGCCCTGTCTCAAAACAAAAAAACAGCTGGGAATGTGGTTCAGTGGTAAAGCCCCCCTGGCTTTAATCCCTGGTACAAAAAAAAAAAAAAAAAAAGATACCTGTTTGCATGGTTAAAACCTTTCACTAATGTTAGTAGAAATGATCTTTAAGATTTTTTATTTGTTCAATTTTGAAGTAGTCAAAACTCACGCCAACAAGAAATGGAGTAGAGGAAACAGTATTTTGTTAGCAGAAATTCAAGAAGAGAGCTTCAATTGAGAATCAAGATCCAATAGAGAAAATACAAGAGGGACCACTAAATAAAAATAAATTAATATCAGTTGTTAAAAAAGCCAACTTCTGACTCTAGAGCTTTAAAAAGTCTTCTTTGGTCACTCTGGCACATGCCTGTAACCCCAGCAACTTGAGAAGCTGGGGCGGAAGGGTTTCTAGTTGGAGGCCAGCCTGGGCAACTTTGGAAGACGCTGTCTCAAAATAAAAAATACAGAGGGATGGAGTGTTAGATCATGTTGCAAAGAAAAGACCACCGACTCCAGTTGAAATCAAATTAAAGCAAGCTTATAATTTTGACTGGCTGGGCTGCTTCTCCCGAAAACTGCGGGAACAGAAGACAGCAGCTCAGCTCTCTAGGCGCACAGCTTTATAGCTCAGAAAGTTACACAAAGGGAGGTTTAAGAACTTACAGATAACAAAATTAATGAGGGTCATTAGAGTTTCAGAGAGGGTTGTTATCTGGTCAGGGAGAGCCAGGCATGGGTGAGTTCAAGGCACAGGTAGGCATTCCAAGCAAGTTTAAAAATCGCAGTAATTTATAGTAAAGATGAAATTAACTTTTCATGCCTTTGTAGCGAGGTGGCTCCCAATCTTAAGAGGAAACTAGGCTGGGTTTGTCATCCCCCCCTTTCCTTATGTGTCCCTTTCAAATCTTTGATAGGATAGGGGAAGAGCACTGAGGGAATTTTA